GGAACATAGGGAACATGGTTGTAGAACAGGATGTCATCCTCAAACGAGTAGGCAGCAGGAAGGGTGTTTGTCCTTCTTTGTTCCCTTTTTGTGCGAACGAAGGGGTTAGCTTGTTGTGTATGGCGGAGGTCATCGTTGTAGGAGGTGGAGATGGATGCTGCGGCTGCAATTTCGGGTTGTAGAATAGGGGTTGGGTCGGGTTGTTCCTCGTTGTCGGGGAAGTATTCAGGTTTCCTGGACAGAGCGTCAGCCAGGAGATTTTTCGAAGGGGGTATGTACTCAATGCGGAAGTGAAAGCGGGTGAAGAATAGAGCCCATTGTGCTTGTCTTTGGTTGAGTATTTTGGCGGACGTGAAATGGACAAGGTTCTTGTGATCCGTTTGGATAAGGAACTTGTGGAGAGAACCTTCAAGCAAATGTTGCCATTCTCCTAAGGCAGCTTTGATTACTAACAGTTCTTTCTCCCAGATCATGTAGTTTTGTTCTGAGCCGAAGAGTTTGCGAGAGTAGAAAGCCACCGGTCTGAGGTCAGTTGTGGACTCGTTTTGTGATTGTAGAAGAACTGCTCCAATGGCTTTGTCGGAGGCATTGGTTTGTAATATGAAAGGTGCGGATGTATCTGGATGAATCAGTTGGTGTTCTGAAGTGAATTGGTGTTTCAAAGTGGTGAACGCAGCTGCAGCGTCGGGTGGCCAGTTCAGGTGGTGCCCCTTGTCCTTCAAGAGGTCAGTCAATGGTGCGGTTAGACGAGAAAAGTGCGGTATGAATCGGCGATAGAAGTTCGCAAAACCCAAACACTTTTGCAGTTCTCTCTTTGTTCGTGGTGGTTGCCAGGATAGAACTGCCTGTATCTTTTCAGGGTCCATCTGTAGTCTGTCTGGGGAAATGTAGTAGCCCAGGTACACAAGGGAAGTAGTGTGGAATTCACATTTTTCCAGCTTAGCAGAGAGGTGGTGCTCTCGCATGCGTTGTAGGACGGCTCACACGTGGTAAACGTGAGACTCAGAATCATTGGAGAAGATCAATAAATCATCCAGGTAGGCAATTAAGAAGTCATCAAGAAAATCGTGGAAGATCTCATTGATCAATCTGCAAAACGATTGTCCCGAATTTAAAAGTCCAAAAGGCGTTACTAAAAATTCGTAGGTGCCAAATCTTGTGGAGAAAGCGGTTAGATGTTCATGTCCAGGGCGTATGTGCAGTAAATTGTAGGCGTTGCAGAGGTCCAATTTGGTAAAAATGCGTGCTTGGCCCAGGCTTTCCAAAATCTCTGAGATAAGTGGCATGGTGTGACTGTTACATACGGTGACTGCGTTCAAGCGATGGTAGTCAATGCAAACCCTAGGTTCTTCAGAATTTTTCTGAGGCACGATGATGGGTGTCGCTGAAGTGGGCAATGAGGAAGGGCGGATGAAGCCTTTTTTTAAATTTGTGGATATGAAGTCTTTAAGGACTTGGAGTTCCTTAAATGACATGGTTCATAGTTTGCTGACTGGGAGGGTTGCCCCTGGTTGTATGTGAATCTCCATGTCACATGAGCGGTGAGGCGGTAGCTTGTCAGCCTCTTGTGGGTCAAAAACGTCCCAAAAGTCTTGGTATTGTGGAGGGAGGGCGGTGGTGGAAGGTGGGGAGGAGGTAAGAGGAGTTTGGGCTGTAGGGTTGGCACAGTGTTGACAACAAAAATTAGAATTGAAGTGTATTTGTCCTGAGTTGCAAGATATTTGCGGTCTGTGTCTGATTTGCCAGTCCATGCCAAGTACTACAGGGTATTGCAGGTCCTTCACTAATAAGAAAGCTGTTTGTTCGCAGTGTTTTCCAATTTGTAGAGTGAGGGGGGAGGATTGGCGGGAGGAGGGGCCTCCTTGCAGGGGGCGTTTCTGGATAGAGTCCACCTGGAGCGGGGCTAGTAGTATTGATTTAGGAAAACAGTGATTTTCAGCAAATTCCTCATCCATGAAGGAAGCAGTAGCACCACTGTCAATTGCAGACTGTGGGTGTGCTTACAAAGTGGTATCCACCAGCAGGTGTCGGGCAGTAGGAGTTTTTTCCAGGGATTGGCACCCTTGTGATTTATGGGCGGGTCCCAGTGTCGCGGTGCTTAACGACGCTGGGACTGGAAGTTTCCCATCTGCTTTTTCAAAGGGCATGACTGTGCCATATGGCCATTATGTCCGCAGACAAAACACGGCCTGGTCGGGTGGCGGTAGGCCCTATCTCCCCTTGGAATGTGAGGCCTGGCAGCTCCCAGCTGTATTGGCTCAAGTTCTGGTTCTGGCTGAGGTGTCGCCATGGCAACGTAGCTCTCAGGTGGGAATTGTTGGGGGCTGGCTTCCGCGCATGGGAACCATCTTCCTTTAGTTGGCTGCAGGCCAGCATGGCATTCCTGTTTAGCGTGGGCTCTCTCATTAAGCCATGCATCAATCTGAATGGTTAAAATCATCAGCTGCTGCAAAGTTGTTGGCATAGATGCGCGTGCCAAATCAACCAAAACCTCCTCCCTCAAGCCTTCATGGTATTGTACCATTAAGGCCTCCTCATTCCACCCTAGGTCATTCATAAGGAGATGGAATTTAGTAGTGTAATCAGTGGCTGAGGCGTCCCCTTGTTTCAGATGCTTTATCTCCCGGATGGCCATTTCTTTGGAAGATTCTACACCAAGGAACTTCCCCAGGGCGTCTATAAACAGATTAGCGTTGTTTAATATAGGGTCTCGAGCGATAAGCCTTGTAGTTGCCCAGCGGGCTGGGGCCCCCGTGTGTTGATTTATTAAAAAGCCTACCTTCATCTTTTTGTTGGTGAAGTCATTAAGGCGTAGACTAATGTAGAGTTTACATTGTGCTTTGAAAGTTGTAAATCCTTCTTTTTTTCCGTCGTATTTCAGGGGAGGCTCCAGGGGGCATCTTCTGAGAGTCAGCTCTTGATTTTGCTTTGAGGCAGTAGCTGTTTGTAACTTAGCATGGAGGTTATCCAGCTCATTGCATCTATTTGTTGGGTAGCATCTGCATACTTCGTCCTGAGGAGGGTGTTCTCGTCCCTTAAAGTTTGAAGTTCTTGAGCGGCTTGATCTCTTGATTCCATTGCTGTGGTTTCTCAAAGATGGAAAAAGTAAATTGTTGGGTGAAGAGAGGAGAAAAAAAAATCTTCGCTTGGCTGTGTGGGCAGCCTAGAGGATTAACATACTGTCAAGGTGGTACTCAACATGTAAACAACCCACAGGTTCACAAGCAATAAAACTGGAGTCTTTTATTGCTACTTGTCTACAAGATTTACAACTCAATAGATAAGCTCTTCTGCTGAGGTCTTTGGAATGCAGATGTTAATCCTCTAGTGGTGTCTCTCCCCCAGGCCAGTGGGACTAGCTCTCTTGGTCACGCCTTTCTTCCCTCTGACGTAACAAGCTCTGCCTTTGCTTGTATCTTCTTAGAATTCTGTGATTGGTTGCTAGAGAAAAGTCTATCACGCCCCCTGAGTCTCCTGTGTCATGTTCAGGAAGTTCAGCATCAGTGGGAGGAGGGACAGCCTGCTCTGACTCCTCCTGAGTAGAACTAGCGGTGTCTTTTCCCTCAGGGCTCTCTTGCTTTGATGTGGGCTCGGTGTTTGCTCAATGGGCAGGGAGTCAGGGGGAGGTGCAGCTATCTGCTCAGCCATCCCCAAGCTAGGTTGCGGGGTTGGCTTTTGGATACAGGGTCCCAAGCACAAGACCTCCTCGTGAGGTGCTGTCTCTGCCAGAGCTTCAGGCACGGCAGCCAGCCTGTGAGGGCACTGGTAGGAACGATATGGCTACTGGAACAGAATTGTCCTCCCCTTTTGCAGGTTTTTCCTTGTCTTTCTTCATAGTTGTTTTAGGCTCCTCTACCATTTTGTGAGCCCTCTTCTTCTTTTTTTAGGCCTTTTTCCATCCAATGCATGTTAGGTTTGTCAAGCACTGACGGAGTAGTCAGTGGAGTCCCCAGAGCAGCAGATGCGGGCACAAGCTTTTACTTCTGCACAGAATGTCAACAGATGATCTTGTCAGTTCCCTGTGATGACTTGCATCATCTCAAGAACCCTAGTCCACATCTCTGTCTTTAGCTGTCCTGCCCTGTTCTTTCTGGCTTGCTTGGTAAAAGCCTGGCAGTGCAGGCAGGATTCTATTCAGTGTTCCTCACCAAGGCAAAAGAGACACAAAGTCCATCAGAAGATGGCATCCCCAAAAATAAGACCTAACCAAAAAATAAGCCCTAGCATGATTTTTTGGGATGCTCGTAATATAAGCCCTACCCAAAAAATAAGCCCCAGTTAAGATCATCAGCCAGATGGACACATTTAGTACATCTGTCACAACACAATTTGGGGTTTAGAGAGTTATGACAATGTTCCAGAAGAAGATGACATGACTGTATTTGAATAAATGTAGATTTTTCTGCACGAATAAATGTAGATTGTTGTACATGAAATAATAAGACATCACCTGAAAATAAGTCCTAATGCGTCTTTTGGAACAAAAATTAATCTAAGACCCGGTCTTATTTTCAGGGAAACAGGGTGATAGTGGCAATTTTGATTACCATTGCTACCATGTAATTTTGTGGGTTGCAACACTGTGTCATTATGCTTTAATTCAGTGCAAACCATTCTGGAATTGAGAAATAAAGGGTTCTATATAAACATTTTTAATGAGGAGTGTGTGTATGTTCATTTAACATATATTTCCCAGTGTTTCTCAGCTGGGATCTTTTAACCACAGGTTAAAACTTGAATTTGAGACTTGCGTGCAAAGTATTTGCTGTACCAACAAACAAATCAGCTCTTTCTAGGAAGTTGTGTAAGAGATGCTTGCCCTTTCCTACTCTCCACAAGGATGGATTTTGAAGGAAGACTCTTTATCTGACATTGCCTTTTTCCTTGAGAAAGCAGGAACTGGCTGATACCAAAATAGGAAATCTTTCCAATATTTACACTTATCAGTAAAGCAGGCAATATCTGGACCTCTTGGGGTATACAGGGCCCTTGTCACATACCTTCACTTTCTTTCAGCTGAGTGAATTGTATGGAGCGGCTTCTGCGTCTTGCAGGCTGAGGGCACTTTGGATCTGCAGGAAAAACACCAGAACAGGAAATAACTCCTTGATATCAAGCAGAATGACTCTAATGAGTTCCACTTGGTGTGTATGTTTACTCAGAATTAATAATACCCATTCTTGGAAGAGTGGCAATCTTTTGGTTGGTCACAAGGGTCAGTCCGGCATCTGCAAACACAGCCACACTGTTCCTGCCACTGCCAGCTGTACATCCAATGTCACTCCTCTCTACAGCGTCCCATATCTGGAGTGAAATGGGTAAGAGTTATAAGAAAAATAATGCTAATGCACTTGTTGTGAGGCACGGTCCTTCTCCCGAGTAAACATGCTGCTCCAGAGTTCCTTTTCACAATGCTTTATTGTTACACACCCTTTTTTAAAAACATCTGAGTTCACCCATAGTGAAGTGCTGAGCCCTCTCTATCACCCCTCCATCTGTACCCCACGTATAGCCCTTTCTCCTACACCAACCCACTGAGCTTCCTTGCCTGTCAGTGCTCCTCCCATTGCTCTGTCAACTGAACCTGACCCCTGTGTTGTCTCCTAGGAACTGGCATCACCTCCTCAGGAGGAGGGACCCTTACATCCAACAGACTGCTCAGCTCTTGGTGCACACCTTGGCCACACCCCAAATCCTCCTCCTGTTCTGCCATTGGCGAATCGGGGCTCTCATCAGGTTCAGCGGCCAACTCCCCCCCTTGCTGAGTTATCTCCCCATTCCCACAGGATGGCTGGTCGTCACCCCCACCCACCTGGAGTAACTCTCCCCATTCCCCAGACATTTCCTGGCCTTGACTGGCACTGTAGTTTGCTGATACTCCAAAACTCCTTCATCTTCACTGTGAATTCTCATTCCCATCAAAGCTATGTACTGGCTGCCCACCTTCTGGAAGCTTTTCCCTGTGCTCATGCACAACACAACATATATTTCTCATTCTTGGCAGAGAAAGTGCTTTCAGAGTAAAACTTTAGCAGAAAGCCCACTAGAGAGCAAAAGGTTAAAAAGCTCTATTCCCCATTAGTCTTTTGCCAGCTACTGTAGCATCCATGGCTGCATTTTGTTTAAAAAAGGGGAAAACTACATGTGTTCAACATTGAAAACACTTATGCATTCATAACACCATGTTCTCAGTCAGTCATTTGTCTTCACACACTTCCTTTCCCAACAGTGTAAAAAAAAAAAAAAAAAGGTGGGGGGGTTAAAAAGTACACTTGTGCCCCAGTCCACATTTTCATACTTTAGTCTATGGCAGGACTTATGCACATTTTCCTTCTTGCCCCTCCCCCCAAATTGAATAAATCACACAAAACCCACTATGCCAAGTTCAGATGTCACAACAAACCACTCTGAAACAAACAAAACTGATAACACCCCATGTGTTGTCATGTCATGTAAATCAGGCAATTGAATGGAGTTATTACCATAAAGGACTTCCCAGCTCACCTTTGTTTGATTAAGCCTCTGTTTCTGATATAGGGTGTAGATTCTTTTGTCTATTGCCACAAGACCAACCCTAGCTCTTGGATCCCCTTCCAGTGTGAGTCGAACTCGACCTCTTGGCTCGTGAATTTGATTGACTGCCTCAGCTGCTCCTTTCACAACCAACTGTTTGAACAAAGACAATGAGGGTTAGTCCTGAAAAACAGAAAGTGCCTGGCTGCCTATACATCATGTTCTTGCATCCAACCTTTAAGTAGGTGAATACAGTTTAAAAATCTTTCATTAATTTCACTTTCTCAGGACTCAACATGAGTGGAACCAAAAGGCAACTTCCTGAGTATGCAGATTAATTTTTCAGTGGAGGTGGGGAATGTGTGGCCCTGCAGATGCTGGAGTACAATTGCCAGAATTCCTACCCGCAACCATGCTGGCTGGAACTGCTCAGACTTAAAATCCGGCAACACCTAGAGGCTTCTCACCTCTGATTCACAGTGTGCAACTGGAGAGACAGTGGCAGATTGCACGTCATTCGTGTCTAACCTGGCAACAACCCAAAGTTCATTGGTTCTTCCCTGAACAACCCATGGTGTGCTTGACAGACAACTGTGTTCAGTGCGGGTTGTCTATAGTCTTCCTTCTTCCTTGGGGCTTCCGCAGATATCCCATGGGTCTCCATGGCAGGAACCATCTTGTCTCCCCCTTCCCATCATGATCACAAGCCCTTTTGTGTTTGCCATGGTGTCATTTCCCCCACCTTTTTGTAACCTGTGAATTTACCACCAGTGACAACCTCCTCTAAATGCTGAAATGGCACACTGGAGAGGTTGACACTGGTTCATCACCCCTTTAAATCAAAAGAGTGCTAAATGTATAAAACTTTTGTACATTTTTATTGGACTTGCAGAACTGCATGCTTGTGCACCCTGTCCGGTGGCAGCTGTGTAGTGATGCCAAGGACATGGGCCCCACACTGTACTTGTTCTGCAGTGCAGAATGCTGTGGCCCATATCTGCCAGTGGTGAGGTGGGATCCCCAGAATCTGCAGCTGCATGTGGAGAAGAGCAGTCCAGTACTGATGGATAGATCCTGGCGTGGAACTCATAATCCCGGGCAACTGTTGACGAGGATGGATTGGAAAGAGGAGGAACAGAAGAGTTGGATTGTATGGAGGTGGGTAACTACATGGTGAAGAAGTTGGCTGGCGGCTTTGTGGAGCTGGTGGATAGTGAAAAGAAGGTGATGGTCTGGAGCTCCTGGTTCCCCATAGATGTCAGGCTGGCAGATTAACCTATACCAGACAACATACATAGGGCTGCAGTGTTGCGAAGGGTCCAATGATCAAAGAACCCTCAGTAAGGCTATGAAATACAGGTCTGTCTCAGCCTGACACAGGGGAGTGAAAGTGATTCCTTTCAATGTCACTCTCAAGCTGCTCCAGGGGATAATGAGCTGGTGATGGCATGGCCAGTGCTCCTGCAAGCTTAGCCTCTGGGGGGAGACTGGAAGGTGGTGTGTCCCTGATCTCTCCCTTGGATGCCAAGGCCAAGATGGACTCAAGCCTTGGCACTGATGCAGGGCTTCAAGGGCGCTCAGCTTCAAGATAGCTGGTACTGTCCCAGAGTCTGTTCAGCACCACTTTGTTTTGGCAACTGAAGGATCCGTCACCTTCACCCGTTTGGCACATTTGGTCAAATTTTTCACCTTTTGGGGTTTCATTGATGTGCCCGGAGTCAGAAGAGGCAATGGCGCCACAGATGGAGCATGGACCTTTGCAAAGTCACAGAGACAGCAGTGAATGGGTGTCGGAGCTCAGGCAAGCACAGGGCATTGACTACATGAAGAGCCTTGCTCCAGAGCTCAGCACATAAGGAGTTACCTGCTTAGTGAAGGCCTAGCAGTGGGGGAAAGTCCTCAGGAATGTGGAAAAGTGAGATCCACCCTTTATAGCTAGCTGTCAAAGCTCCAGTTCCTTTTAAAAGTCTTGTTTTGACAGGGTGACCTATGTTTTCCTGCAAGGATGTGTGCATCCATGCCTACATATGATCCTGTCCGACAACCATGAGTAGCTCTCAAATAAAAGAGCTCCCAATATGTTTTTAACAGCTGCTTTCTAACTAAGGATCAGGCCCTAAGCAGGCCACCACACTTCAGCCTTCCCACATACTTCTCCTCCTCCTCTTATCCATCGCATTCACTGTACACTGCAACAGCTTGTCTTTGCCTGGTTTATGTGGCAGGATTGTATTTGTCACAGCAGTTTCCTTTTTTTAGGAATCTCAAAAGACAACTCAATGGAACATGTCATCTTGCAATGGATAGGATCCAGAATGGCTAGAACTCAAAAATGCTTGCAGCCCTGACTAGTGGTTCCCATGAAAATGGTTGCGGAAGGGAAGCAGTGTGCTTCCCTTTTATTGATATATGTGTATACAGTATGGACAACAAGTGCCTGGCCCTTCCTCAGGGCCAAACTAGATATATGTTGTTCACAGCTTCAGCCTGTGTTGCTAGGCGTTTTTTTGAAAAATAGTAGGTGTGGGGCAGGGAGCAGGAGACTGGATTAGCATGGGATGGATGGGCCTCCAAGTCTTTCTCCCTCTGGGTGTTGATCCAGCTGGGCGTGTGGGGCAGCACCTGCTTCTTCCAATGGGCTGAACATTGCCATGGATGCCATTGGGAGCTTACCTTCTTTTATGGCAAGCGTGGGGCTTCCCAATTTGGATAGGGATGATGGAGGGAGTAAACACTTAAGGCCCCACTCCACTTTGTACTACAGTCCCAGCCTAGCTTCCTGCTCCTTGCACCTGCTATTTTTTCCCTCAAATCCATCCACACAAGGGCTAACAATGTGACTAATGCTGCATCTATTTGAATCTCCTATAATACCTAGGGGCTTGAGGGCTCTGCAACAGACAGAACTGTGCTGCTCACACATGCACAACTACAACAGTCTTAAAAGCAACAACATCTCTGGAAATGCCAAAACAGAGTCCTTGTTCTACAAGAACCAGTACAAGACAGAAGGGTCTGTCCCAGGAAAAATGGGAACATGTGCTCCAAATCGCCACATATTCTCACAAAACCTATTTGTATTTCAGGTGCCAGCCTTCCTGATCAGGAACAGAAATATACACTAATATATCTCAGAGTGATGTGCAAGGTTCTTTTGTTCAGAGCTGAAATTAAATTGTGGAGGAGAAATCTCATGAAAATTAGCTGATAATCTGCCAGATTTTTATGTAATGAACACTATTGTTGGTTGCAGGAAAGGGTGCCCCAGGATCTCTAGGCAGCGCTAGAAAAGAACGAACCTCTGGAGAATCACTGCCATTCACAATGCCTGGCTAAATAGGCCAGTGGTCTGTCTATAGGCAGCTCCCTATGTGTCCAAAGTCAGCGAAAGAAGATACTTACTGTTCCCATGCAGGAATCCTTCACATCTACCCAGAGAGAGTCAGCTACTATCTCACGGTTTCCTACTTGATAGTAAGCCACAATCCAGAAAGAAGGAATGAGCTCTAGAGTGATGTGCAGAGGCAGAGATGCCATATTCTGTCCAGATGCCCTGGGCAGCCTCCCAGCTTTGATCACCTTCCCTTTACTCAAGATCTGTTGACAAATGAGAAATGGTTTTTCAAACAGCTTTGAATAAATGCTGGAGGTCCTGGTACACTTATCCACACGTGGGGGTCATTTCCTCTGGTAAAGAAATTTTGGTACAGAGTCTTCAGATAAATTAATAATGTGATCAAATAAAACACCACCAGAATTCTAGTAATTGCAATTCTAGGTATCTTGAGAAAAGATGTATAGCCCACCTTCCATATATACTTTGTTTTACACTATTTAGCAGAAGAAACAGCAGCAATTTTAAGTCAATGGAAATGTTTAATGGGCTTTAACACTTAGTTTTAAGGGGTTTCAGATTATTCATTAATCTGGACAAATTTATTACTATGGATAAGGTTTTCCATTATAGGACTATTGTTCAAGGTCATGTAAAACCCCACACTTTTAATGCAACATGATACCAGTTTTTATATCATGAGGATACATCATAGACCCAAATCCCTATGAATTTCAGTTTGAAGAATAATTCTATACTCCACACATCCTAACTGAATTGGGACTCTATTTGTTCCTTCAACTGATTCAGCTAATGTTTCACCCATGCTCGTTGTACTAAAATGATAAAAAATGAAATTAAGAAAGAAACAAAGACAGACAGACACCAATATTTTCATCATACAAGGGACATGGAAGAACATGATGCTATTTGAAGTCCCTCCATTCAGCCATCCAGGGTCTTTTCAGGGTACTCTAATTCACTGCCCTGGCTGGAGGCAGTACTTCTTTTTCTTTTCAAACAATAATAAGCAAAGTGTAGATTGCAGACTAAGGACCTCAGTGAGTTGTTTGTTCGTTTTTAATTCAATTCTGTTGTTTATTTTATGTTTAACCTGTGAGAAAAACCAACCCCCATCCTTCCTCCCCATCCTTCCTCCCTACTCCTTCCAATAGTCCATCTACCAGCCAGCTTCCACACTGTACTCTCCTCATCTAGACCCAAAGCAAAATGACTTTAATGCCAAAACTATGTCATATTCTCTGTATTTTTACTCTAGGGTAAGTGCAGGAGTCCCAGTCCAGATCAGGGCCTCAGCATGAGTAGACTTAAGGACTTTAATATTTATTACTCCAAGTGATTGTCTGCTACCTGTCCTTCTTGCAAATAGTATGAACATTAGAAAGTGAATGGGGAGCTGGACCTTTGCATTCCCATCCTCCTAGGTTCCCGGTACTTACTATGTAGGTGAAATATTGTGTCTGTACATCCTGGTTGTTCATGATGAAACGGACATGTAATACATCTCCAGCTTTGACCTGACCAGTTGTTATCCTCTCTATATGAAGATAGTTTCCAGATCCCTCCTGAGTTTCATAGGCTGTAGCCACTATTGACGCTCTGGCCTGTCGTTTCTTTGGGAGTAGTGCATGGTTGGTTTTTACCTAGAGAGGACAAGAAGAGCTAATGACTCCTGAAGCCATCATGAATCCTTTAAACCAGCACAAAGAAATGACCAGAAACTCTGCATGGAGTAGCGCTAGGAAAAAATAGTATACCATCCAGAGTTCCCAGGTTCTTCTGGGGGATGGTTTGCATCAGTGTTTCACATCAGTGAATGTCCGCACTGTGCTCCAACACATTCATAGAAACATAGAAACAGAGCGAGTCAGAAGGGGTCTCCCAGGCCATCTAGTCTGACCTCCGGCACCAGCCGGTTCCGCTCACGATATGCCCACCATGTGCACATCAATCCATGTATTAGGATTGTGGATTCTCTACAGCACTTCTGGATTACACAAAGGGTATTGGACTGAAGCTTCAGAACATGGAAGAATTATACTGTGGAATGAGTTAAGGACAAGCCAGTGTAACTCAAAAGAAGAAAGGGACGACAGAGGATGAGGAGGTTAGATGGAGTCCCTGAAGCAGTTGGTGTGAGCTTGAGTGGACTCCGGGGGATGGTGGAGGACAGGAAGGCCTGGAGGAATGTTGTCCATGGGGTCGTGATGGGTCGGACGTGACTTTGCAACTAACAACAACAAGTGAATAAAATTCCCTATGGATGGCAGCTTGTAGTATTACAATAGCTACACAGTATGCAAATAGCACAACAGTATTTACAGTGCAAATGGTAAGATGGAGTTAGGGATAGGAAGATGCACATGTAATTATAGCCAACTTGACATTACGGTTTCTGGACCATTGACAGCCCCTCCAATGTGCCACTTTGGCATTTTGAAGGTACTGTCACTGGCTATTACTGGGGGGCGGGGGGGGAATAAAGTGATAGTGAGCAAGCTGAAAAGGCTCAGGATTGCTGTGGAAGACATCCAGCCAGTTCCACTTGTCCCCAAGTGCTGTTCAGACGTTTGCAAGGCAGCTGTTCCTAGTGGATTTTTGGGTAAGCCTGGCATTGGCAGCAAGGGTTTTTGTTTTTTGTTTTGCTAGACGTGCCAAACAAGTTGTGGGCCAGTTCCTGGTACTCATAAGGGGGTTGATTGCCTGGGTTTGAATGACACAACATCTCATTTTGGGTGCAAGCTAAGTATAATCTATGGGTTGTAGTGTCGTGACAATGTGGGCCCAGTCAGTGAATTATCTACCTAGAAGAGATTTAGAAAACTATTTATCTATAACTGAGGTCAACAGGCAATGCAGACAATGCTGGAAATGCTAAAGGAGAAAAGACAAAAGGCAGGAAAAGCACAGCTATGATAGAAAAAGAGGCTGGAGGCATGAGCCACATCTCTAGCAGCCTCACTGGGGCCGTAGCAGCAATGAAACTGGAAAGCAGAAGCTGTTCTCTCACATGAGCGGGCAATTCTGCTTAGTCACATGCCTGTCAGCCAAAGTAAGTGGGAGGAACAGTCCAAAGGAGGATATCTGCTTCTTGTACAGGGAAACAGAACTTAGCATCATCTCAGGTTAACTCACATTAATTCTTAACTCTTCAATATCTTGAGGTATATTCAGGATGATCCTGGCAGTCCCATCACTCTGAGTAGTTGCACTGCCGCTCTCCGTGATATCTACAAGTTCTGCCGTCACAGGAATAAGGGGAGCTGGGGAACCATCTGGGTTTGTGACATACACCTAAGAAAAAGTTATGCATGAGAACAGAATACAAACATAGAAACATAGAAACAGAGCGAGTCAGAAGGGGTCTCCGGGCCATCTAGTCTGACCTCCAGCACCAGCCAGCTCCGCTCACGACAGAATGTACCCATCTACATCATTTCCCCCACTCCATTTAAGTACTATTTCTACAGCTATTTATGAGTAATTTAAAACAGAAAAACCTAGCCTGAGGCATCAGGAGTAAAGTAATTAATATTACCATCAGTTCATAGGACATCCCTGGTTTGAAGTACTTGGAGGTTTTTGTGAAATGAATCTCATAAGGAGTTGTCACGATGGCAATGCTAATTTGCTCAGTCACCACCATATTGTTGCCTGCAGAAATAAGAAAAGAATTGTGGGTAAGAAAGAAAATGAAATGAAGCCGAGAAAGAGGGAGGGGAAGAGGATAGAAGGATGTTTTCAAAGCTTGGCAGTTTCATTTGCTTCACATCCAGCACTTCCTTTTTTTTCTCTCTCTTATGTAGTCAGGGAATCTTTTTACATCAGTTTAACTAGGCATTAGGAATGCAGGTGGCACAGTGGTTTCAACTGTTGTGCTGCTGGGCTGGGCTGGTTGATCAAAAGGTCACTGGTTCAAATCAGCACAACGGGGTGAATTCCCGTTGCTCCATCCCAGCTCCCGCCAGCCTTGCAGTCCGAAAGGTTGCAAATGCAAGGAGATAAAAAGGTACCACTTTGGTGGGAAGGTAACAGCGTTCTGTGCACTTCGGTGTTTAGTCATGCTAGCCACAGGACCACGGAGACTGTCTGCAGACAAACACTGGCTCCCTCGGCCAGGAAACAGAGATGAGCACCACCCCTAGAGTCAGGCATGACTGGACTTAACGTCAAGGGAAAACCTTTACCTTTTTAACTAGAGATCGTGCATACTGGATAGTTATACTGACGAGTGGTTGAATGTGCATATGGCTAGGCCTATTGTGACCATATATGGGACCCTGAGGCAGATACCTTCCCTTCCACACTTAGGTTTCCCTGGCATACTAAGGAAAAAGGGGAAATTGAAGCAGACCAACCTTCCTGGCACCGATGTGTTAATTGGAACCCAGTGGGGCTTTGGGTCATGCCTGTGGTTTTAAGAAAGGCTTAGCTCATGATGAATGCTCCTTTGGAGTGGATACTCCAAAAACACTATAAGCATACTGGATTTAAAAATTGTTTTGTAATCCATAGGCTTTATCATGAACTGCCAAATTTTTTAAGAAGGACATTTAACGTTAGCTCCATAAAGATTTGAAGAAGGAATGGCAAAACAGTTTGGAAACAAGTAAAGCAGCTCCCAGAATTGTGCTTATCAACTTGCCTCTCTCCTATAGCCATTTATCAAAGCTCCCCACTCCCAGAAAATGTTCAAGTTTTCACCTTAGAAATGCATTGTTTTTACATTAAGATATTGTGTTGTTGTTGTAGTAGTCGCGAAGTCATGTCCAACCCATTGCAACCCCATGGACAACATTCCTCCAGGCCTTCCTGTCCTCCACAATCCCCTGGAGTCCACTTAAGCTCACACCGACTGCTTCAGTGACTCCATCTAGCCACCTCATCCTCTGCCGTCCCCTTCTTCTTTTGCCATCTATTGTTCCCAGCATTAGGCTCTTCTCCAGGGAGTCCTTCCTTCTCATTAGGTGGCCAAAGTATTTGAGTTTCATCTTCAGTATCTGGCCTTCTAAAGAGCAGTCAGGGTTGATCTCCTCTAGGACTGACTGGTTTGATCACCTTGCAGTCCAAGGGACTCGCAGGAGTCTCCTCCAGCACCGCAATTCAAAGGCCTCAATCCTTTGGCGCTCAGCCTTCCTTATGGTCCAGCTTTCACAGCCATACATTGCAACTGGGAAAACCATAGCCTTGACTATATGCACTTTTGTTGGCAGGGTGATGTCTCTGCTTTTTAGCACGCTATCTAGATTTGCCAAAGTTTTCCTCCCCAGGAGCAAGCGTCTTTTAATTTCTTGGCTGCAGTCCCCGTCTGTGGTGATCTGGGAGCCCAGGAAAATGAAATCTGTCACTAGCTCCATTTCTTCCCCATCTATTTGCCAGGAAGTGATAGGACTGGATGCCATGATCTTAATTTTCTTAATGTTGAGTTTCAAGCCAACTTTTGCACTCTCTTCCTTCACCCGCATCAAGAGGCTCTTTAGTTCCTCTTCACTTTCTGCCATGAGAGTGGTATCATCTGCATATCTGAGGTTATTGCTATTTCTCCCGGCAATATTAATTCCAACTGGTGATTCATCTAGCCCCGCCTTTCTCATGCTGTGCTCTGCATATACGTTAAATAAGCAGGGCGACAGTATACAGCCTTGCTGAACTCCTTTCTCAATTTTGAACCAATCAGTGGTTCTGTGTCCAGTTCTCACTGTTTAAGATATTGTAGATATTGTAGAATTACATAATTACCACCTATGACGTAGTACACATTACTTGGCAAGTTATGCTGATACAAATGATAACTCTGTCCATTTTTCTCCTTTACAGAAATTCCTAAGTATACCAAAATAAACATTTTGTCATGCTGGCTTCTAGATCTTTGGACTATAACTTCCAGTATCAGTGACCACTGGCCAAGCTGGCTGAGGCTTATGGAAACTGAAATTCAAAACATCAGGATACCAGATTGGAGAAGGCTGAACTCTAGGAATGTAATATACCAGACGAAATGTGATATTAACTGCGTGAAAGCAATTAAGTTGCACTTTTTGTGATGGGGGTGGGGTGCAGCCATGGGACCTTGAAGAGAGGAGGAGCTTGGACCCATAGTCAGTCATCAGCTGGATATAATCCATGCTGCAAAAAAGGGGATTGCAATTTTGGATTACCATCAACAGAAGTATGGTTTCAGAATCACAGGAAGTGGTAGTTCTACTCTATTCCATGCTAGTCAGACCTCACCTCAAATATTATGTCCACTTCTGAATACCATGCTTTAAGAAAAAATTAGACCAAAGAAGGGCAACAAAGGTATTTAAGAGATTATTAATTCATAAGATTGAAGGATGAATGAAAGAACTGGATATGTTTAACCTTGAGCAGACAAGAAGGAATGGAGATATGATAACACTTAAGGGTTATCTTGCATCCAATCTGTTCTCTATCATCCAAGAGTATCAGATTTAAAGAATGGGTTTAAATTGCAGGAAGGCAGATTTCGATTGGAGATCAAGAAAATTTCCTAGAGGCCACAGCAGTCAGACAATGGAGCCAGCTGTTTATGAAGATGGCAGACTCTCCAGTACTGGCAGATGGCTTGTACAGACAGATTCCTGGTCTGAGCCAGGGGTTGGGCTGAATGGCCTGAACTGCCCCTTCCAATTCTATGATCCTATGAAATTCTTTTCTAAGCAGCTCAAGGGGGAATATGGAATTATTTCAGATTAATGGACAAGTGTGCCCTAATCATGTTCCTACCCGTATGTCCTTCTGCCCTTCTCCACCAACACCCTCATGCCATTTTCTTTTGTATTATGACTAGTAGATTGAAAGCAATTATTTTATAGTGAAAAACAGTCTGGATTGATTGGCAAAAGTCACTGAGCAAATGAAATTTAATTCCTTCCTGCATTTTCTAAGAAGCCAAGTCAGAAGCAGCTGAAATGTCCCAAACTGACACTATGAACTTCATTATTCATACCCTGCCTATTCCAATGAACCAGTTGCTGTATCTCCTGTAGTTAACACCACTGCTCACCATATTTTGTCATCACTGTGGCAAAAACAGAGAGAGAGTGCCCAATGAGCTCACTGAGGTTGTGGAATCGGGTCCGTAACATGGCTCTTGATAAGACTGCTTTCCCAGCCCCATGAGTAACCTAAAAGGAAAAACGATGGGTTTTAACAATCCACCTGAACTAGGCCTGAGGAAGGGATAAGTAAGGTGGCACCCATAGGGACCAATGTGCCTCCAGGTACCTTTCTAGGTGACCACCAAGTTGCCCTTTAATTTTTAAAAATTACAATTTTCTTACTAACATGTATAGTGTGTTGGGACTCAGACCCTACCTCTGTCCTGTACTCACTCTTTTGGGCAGGTAATATGATAGGTATTCTGTGGTAGTTTCTCAAATTTCCAAATGTGCCCATGATTCCGAATGTAATATACATGACTTAGCATACCGGAATTCTTTGGAGTGAGTCTGGGATGTCTGTTTTCATATTATCCATGTTTACTCCAAAAAGGACAAAGGCCGTACCATCAAGCTTCCCCCCATGGTGGAACCTGGAAGAACAAATAAGATTGAGGCCTAAGGTAGCTGTTTGTAATTTTTTATTGGTTAATAAAAATGAATAAAAATATTTTCAGAAAAGAAAAGAAAAGAAGCTATCTTGACAGGTCAATTAGTCTGCTCCTTTGGCTTGACAAGAAAATACTTGATTGTTGAACTCATGCCATTCCTCCTCTGACCCTCCTTGCTCAACGCTGTCTCCCTGCACCAAACCAGTGGTGGTCTCCCTTTCACCTGCTGCTTGCATAATGTCACTTGTTAACTTTAGCTTTTCAGTAATGCATTCCAACCTCTGTTCTTTCTTGGCTAGCTGACCTTCAGAGTCTGAGCTTTATAGTGTGAAATTTCTTATTTTGAGAGAAATGGGCCCAATTCCTACAAAACCTCAGAGAACCTTTTAAATTGGCAAGATAAATATTGTGGCCTAATTAAAATGGCATTTTGATTTATGATGCACCAGCCTCAGTAGTACAGTTAGATAATAATTTACCTTCATCTAACAATGCCCACCCCATGCTATGCTTTTCAGTTGCTACATTCCTACAAGGTTAAAGCAAAAGCTGCTGCTAATGCTAATTAAAAACAGAGAGACTGAGCATGTGCAGGATTTCATGTTTTAAGCCCACCCATGCTCCCTAAACAACATTCTCAGTGGTTTTGATGTTCTGGCATTTTTTCAACAGTTTTTTAGGCAAGAGCATAGCCAAGCAATGGCCCAGAGCTGTAGGTCCATACAGCTCCTGGCTAGAACTGCAGGAGATATTGGAGTCCCCAACACCTTCAAGGCAGGAGAAGATACCAGTCATGCTGGTGAAGGAGGCTGGATCTGTGTCCTTGAGAAAGAAGGCACCTCAATAGCTCCAAAAGCGTTCTTCCAAAAGATGGTCTTCAAATAGTGAAACTGATTTCTGTGAGGTTGCTTGGTAAATGGGTGCAGGCATCCACCACATGCCTCTCAACCAAATAATGCAAGTGTGAAGAGTTCCCATGCACCAGAGGAGCTTGCTCCCATACCTCACACACTTTCTGAAAGGTGTCTTCAAGGGAAAAAAATGATCTGAGCAGATGCAAAAACCAAACAAAAAGCAAAACAAAACAAAACAAAAACTACAGACGAAATTAAAGAGAAAGAACGATGACAGCCAAAAAGGCAGAATAAAACAGCAATATGCCAGAATCCAAACCTAGATGAAAAAAGTATCCTTTGGAACACCAAAGTGGTAGTTCATAAAGAACTGAGGGAATAGGCAGGAACCCACAAAGGGCATGCGGGAAAGGGGTTTCTACCCAAATTTCTCAGCCAAAGAAGTTTCCTGAACCCAGCTCTCCGCAGATGCACAGATACCCCAAAGAACGTTGAAGGACTGATGATGGCATCCTTGTTAAATCAATTATCCTGATTTAGTCTTTCCATCCCCATTAAGAAATCTATAGTGTCCTTAATATATGAAGAAAGTTTATACAGCAGTGGTTGAAATACATAGTGGACACACAGTGAAAATCTTCCAGTTACAAGAAACAATAGGCTGACCTCTATTGGATTTTTAAAAAATGTATATTTAAGATGCATGTAAATTTTATCTGATGTAGGGAAGACGTTAATTCAAAGGACAGACATTTCTCTGTCCAGTAAATGTTCCTGCAGGATTTATGGATTACATTATCAATTTAAATCAGCTATGATATTATGATTGAGGAATGTGTATGTACTGCTATCATTCAGTTGTCTCCAAACTTCAGGAATACACTCAGTCAGCATCACAACAATAGCTCCTCCTTTATCAGCTAATTCTATAGAGTCCCTCATAAACTCCATAAAACATATGCCAGACATTTTCCTTAAAGATTTTTATTTCCCAGCTTTTCAAACTGCTACCTTTGGTATCCTTTGAACATCACTGCTGCTGACAAGAAGTGTTTAACTCTAAACACACTTTGAAATTAGTCTGTTGTTAATCTATCATTCTAATATTTTTAACTTAAGATGGATTGCACCTATAGAGGATCCAGAGCCTCTTTTTTGGTTTGCTCTTGTATTGCTTGACACTTCTCTTTCTGTGTACAGGTACACACATCCATGCACACACACTCTTCCACAGATAGTTCAATAAGCACGTAAATTGTATTGCACTGTTTACTGAGCTGCAACCTTAAGCCTACATACTAGAAAGTAAGAAAATCCTATTTAACTCACTGGATATTTTAAATCAGGGTGTAAATCACTATTTTGAGACACTTTGAATTCTGCTTTCCCTTACTGTCCCACAGATGCATACACTTACCTTGCAGTCACATGTACCGTGAAATCCCTCTCGTCATCAACATAAAAAACCTTCTCTGATGGTTCTAGTATGACCTCAAAGCTGGGCAACACTGGAGATGAAGTTGAAGAGAAGAACTTAAGTATTAATGGAAGGATGAAAGAATAGTGGGCTTCTGGGACAAGTGTTAGGATCTGGGTAGCTCGAGGTCTCCATCTGCCGGGCAGAACTGTGGTGTTTGCAGAACTGGTCCCATACTGAACTGAAGCTCTCCACCCTTTGAGAAGCCCTGGGGAAGAGCTGTATAAGAGCACGCCATGCCCTCCAGAAACTGCCTCAGCAACACAGGTATTCCTACTTGCTGTTGTGTGTTCCAGCGCCTAGATCTTGCCCAATCTTTACCCAATTCAATTCCTGCTTTCCTGCCTCTCACCGCACGCTGCCTTGTTACTTTGCCTTGGTGCTACTGTATTCGGCCCTCTTATTCTACCTCAGGTACCTGCTCTGCTGTCTTCTTGATCCTTGTGGATAACCACACCTTTGTCTCATTCTGCTATGTACTCCTGGTTCCCGACTTTGGCCTGTCCCCTTGACTATGACTAGGGTTGTGCAAGGAGTGCAGTTCGTGTGGAAAATCCATTGGATTCCCTGGTTTCAGCAGCCTAGAGTTCAAGTTCTTTGCAAGCTTACCCAGCATTTGCAGGGTGCTTGCCAGGAATTGAGCCCTGCGCACTGCACAAGCAGCAGCATGCTTCCATGCCCACCACTGCCATGGGCAGCGGCACATGAGGAAGAAGTTTGGCTGTCAGCAATGGCGGCTGGCACACCTGCATGCTGCATCCATTTTTAACATGTGCCACCACAGGCAGGATCAAGTAGGGAAGCAGGTTGGTTGCCAGGAATGGCAGCTGGCATGGACACTTGCAGCTTCCCCCTTTCACATCCTGCAGCCTCTCCTGACAGGAAAGGTTGCTGATTGCACAAACAGGGGCCCACAAGTATCTGCAGACTTCCTCTTGGCTCAGCTTGCCAAGCACAAGAGGAAGTCCACAGATTCTGGAAAGATGTACTTGGAAAATGTTCATTCCAACCCTAACTATGACCCTGCCTCCGCCTCGCTACTGGGCTCTGGGCTGTATTGGACTCTGTCTTGTCTCAGGTCCTGTTGTTTGGGTCCTGGTGCATCTGCCTTGACTCCTGCCTTGGGCTCTGACAACAACTTGCATTGTTGCAACATGCAACAAATTGTGCAGCAATTTTTATTCAAAGTATGACAACTATTTGCTCCACATTCCCACATAAAATATTGTGGGAATTAAGAAGATTGAAATAGTAAATTTCCATAAGAGAAGGAAATGTTATCTTGTTTTGAAGAGAACTGGAGTTCAGAAAAGCTGAAAGATAATGAAGTAAATCCCCTTCATGGATCACTGCCTTGCCATGGCAAAGGAGCTTGTGTAGGGACGTCATTGAAACGTGGCATCAGGTCTCACAATTTCTCCTCAGGAGGACAATAGCATTGTTCCTCATTAACTTAGCTGCTCTGTTTTCTATCAGCTCTGTGCCGTCACATGTCCTTGTTAAAACAACAAAAAACAAACAAACAAACACAAACAACCCCCCTCCCCATTGCCCCTTTTTATGGGAGCCTGAATTTGCTAGCAGTCAAAGCTCCTTTCCCCTGAAGAGGGCATGGAATGCACTTCCCTGGTAGAGACTCAGGGAGAAATACTAAAAGCTCTGGACCTTGAGGACAGTCAGAGCAAAAGATGGAGATGAAGATCTTGGTATGAAGGGGTATAAATCATGTCACCCTTTTTACATGTGCACCTGTGGCTTTGCTTTCTCTTGACAGCTTGCCTTAGGACAGTTGTAAAGAGAAAACCAAGTACAACTTCCCCATTTGGAGCTTCTCTGGCACCCTGGACATGGACAGCAGGTACCCATAAGGATATTCCACAGCCAAGGCTTTTGATTGGCTCATCCCTAAAAGTGTGCAGTGCAAAAATAATTTTCAAAATACAAAAAAAAATGTGCACATTGTCGGCACACACAAAAAAGTTTGGTAACTACTGACAACCCTTTCAAAATGCCACTTGAGAACTTTGAAGGGGGTATCAAAATGGAGAGCATGAAAACTGTCTGCCAAGCCCAAGATCATGATATCTGGAAAGCGGGGAGGGCACAATAAGCAGAGTGTTCACAGTTGCAACACGGACAACCAGTCTGTGATAGTTGCCCCAAAGGTTGCACTTGGGCACTTATGTGGTAGCTGACACTGACAGTGTCCTAGGCCTGCTTGGCAAGAGCAGCAAGGGAGTTTACTGCTCTTCCCAAGCATTTTCCAGCCACTTCCCAGGACCCACATTAGACCACAGAACAAACCATTACGGGAACAACAACCCCTAGAACAAGCCACCCTGTGGGAAACAGTCTGGGTTTGCACGGCACAACGATCTACCATCGCTTGTTACCCATGATTGGTTGTTGTATGATGTGGACCAAGTACATGTGTTAATACCAGGTGTGCTGTAAACAGAAGATACTTTGTTGACAGTCTTGAAATATATAAAAAATTGTGTTACCTAGTGATCTGGTATCAAAGCTTAAACAAAACATCTCATATCATAATTGTCATGAGCAAGTCACCTCCCTCCATCCTTCTCCTCATCAAACTCAAACCAAAACCTTAGAAACATAGTTCTTAAATTGAAACTCTTTTAGCTACAGAATAGTATAAATCAAAGAAAAGCCTCCTAGAAGAGTGGTGGGAGAAGCATTGCCCATGTAAAGGGTTGACTCCAAACTGAAACTTCTCCTCCTTCCCTCCCTTTATTGAAAGGGAGGGAAAGAGGAGGCCCTTGCTGCTTGAGTGTGAGAAGCCACAATTCTGGACACTTTGCACTTCATCTGCTCACTTCACTTGCCTGACTGGGTCAAGGTGGGCAAATTCTCATGCTCTGCCTGAGAAATGTCACTAGGAAACCTTGCAATTGTCAGCTCCTCCATTCCCCCTTGCTCCTTTACTGCCTCCTCAGGATCAGATAAATCTCTCTGAGCAGATTGTAAAATGTAAGAGACAAGACCCCTCTTTACATAATACCCCTAGACAAGAACCAATCTGTCACAAAAGGTAAACGTTGGACTTCTTTGGGAAAGAATCAGGTGATGAAAGGGGGGATGAAACCTGGCCTGTGGCAGAGAAGGTTCTGAACAAAGACAGGCATTCTTACCAAGCTCCCTGACTTCAAATTGTGTGATGAAGGTCTGCTGTGGAGAAATTTCACCCCTGGCTATAATTTTCCAGGTACCCAAACTAGAGAAGGAAATAAAAAGGTATTTTAATTGCTCCTGCTTTATCAGCTCATGGTTATTGTGTGTGTGTGTGCACGCGCGCGCACGCACGCACGCACACACACACACACACACACACACAGCCATCGGTGTGTATAGCATTTTAAAAGATACTATAAGAAAGCAGATCCCAGCCCTTGAGGAGGTAACCATCTAAAATTTGATAGAGCAGAAATGTGATTAGACAGGTAGGAGAAGAACCAACCAGCTAAAAACAGAAGCGCAAGAGACTTAGGACATTGCAGGCTTTCAGGTCAGAGATTGTCTGTATCACAGGCAGCAGAGAGGTTGAGCATAAGGACTGAACAGGCGCCTGGGCAATGAGGAGGCCATCAGTGATTTATGTGAGGACAGCTTCAGTGGACTGTCAGGGGTAAATCAGATTGGAGGGCACTGAGAGTGGAATCAGGGGAAAGAGTCAAGGCAGTGGAAGAAAAGAGGAAGCCCCGGGTATGTCCAGGTATAAATTAGAATGCTAGTGGTTAGAAAAGGAAGACGAGTTAAAGGATTTTTGCCTGAGAACAGGGATGAGAGTAGCATGTTTTAACTTGATGCATTGCAGAAGAATCCAGAAAAGAGTAAGAGGATAATAATGGAGATCCTGATACTGCTGTGGCTTGTGGTCACCACTTCTAATTGGCTTAACAATGCTTACATTTAATGGGGCAGCCCTACCTAGGCTTAAATCCAAGACTGCAGCCAATGGTTCTAGAGAGCAGTCATTTAAGACATTGAGGAACTTAATCTGTTTGTCAGAACTGGAACATACATTTGTCCAGTCAATGTCTGGGTAGCTGAACTCATCCTTTATTACCACACTGCCATTCTCCATCTCAAGCTTACTTTGAGCATTCTGGTCTGGGGAACAACAGCATATACAGTACCTTGGACTAAATTACTCTGGAGCCAGGTATTGTCACCCACAGAGCTTCTGCTGGGGAGTTTGTTCCTTTTAGATTAAGTCTCCTGAACTCTCTGCCCTCTTTGATGTACATTCTCCAGTATACCCTTCTCTGTCCTATAGAGTTCATATCCAGAGATAACTGCATTCCATTGGTTCTCTCTGTTTCTCCAGATGTTTTGATACTTATCAGCCAAAAATAGAGAGTTAAGCATGGAACAGAAAGCCTGAACCTGAAAGCTTGACTCCTGGATATGAGGAGGCTGAATCCTGACTCCTCTTCTGCTCAAATCCTCTGGAGTTCATTCAGTGGCCCTGGGCAAGTCATTGTCCAGCCATCTAATCTGTCTCGCAAGTTGTTGTGAGGATAAAATGGCATTGTCTCATGTGTGCTGCCTTAGAAAGAATGGTGGGATACTACAAGTGGGCTACATAATTACAGAAGTGTGTGGAACTTTGGGGTATGCAGCAGAATAGAGGATATATGTACATCAGTGAGTTTTCTCCCAAAACTACTATTTCAGATCAGTTTTTGTAGAGATTAACTACATGCTAATAATCATGGTAAATTACCTGACAATCTCAGGTATCTCGTAATTCAGCCTCATATCTCCAGAGTTAATAACATTGTGGCTGACAAGAAAGCCTTCAGGTGTCTGAAAAGGAAGGTGAAAGGTTTATACGCAACTAATGAAAAATATTTCCTCATTTTCCCTTTCCTCAGGGTTCTCTTCTGCTGCCTCAGATTACTGATGCTCTTTTTGCTTCTGGACTGCACTTAGCTTTTGCAGCTCCTCCACTCTGTCTGAAAACGTTTCATTTTCCTTTTTTGTCTGGAGAGTGGGTACTCACTGTTCCAGTGCTCTCACCTGTTCTTGTAAGGGGACTACTAATATGCAGCTGTTGCAGTTGTTGCAACAGTAACACCGTGGAGTCTCCTTGGTCCATTGGGCAACTTTAGTGATCCTGTTGTGTCAAGCGGTACTTTCAAATGCCTTCACTAAAGCTTAGGAACACAGCCCTACTAGTAAATGGGAATGTGTTACAAGGAAGAAGACAACTGTGTGTGGTACATGTGTGTGTGCGTGCATGTGCATGGGGGAATTAAAGTGAAATAAAGAAGAGAAACAAATGGGGAAATATGTTAGGGACCTCTCCTGCTGAACTCCTGTTTGTTCGCTCTCTGGGAGCTTGGCTGCTTTTATCCCAGAGGCCCTAGACCTGTTCAAAGATTATAAATATTTTTAAAATGTTTAAACAACCAGAGAGCTTCAACTCTGGAACAGTATAGAAATTAAATGGTAAATAAGTAATATGCAAATACTGAGATCGAGCCTGGAAAGATCTACAGGGAAAGAATGTGCTCCACTGCCAAACTGTGGCACCTCCTTGAGGTTTTGTTCCTGACAGGGATGAAGGGATGATTTGAAACAAGGAAACAGGAAGGAAAAAAGGGGTAACAAAGAAAATTCCTTAGCCTACAGGAGGAAGGGGCTGAGATCAGATAGCACAGAGTGTGAGGAAACTGGCACGTAATCAAAATGACTGAGCTCAATGACTTCCTGAATGTTGACTGGCATGCCTGGCAGGGCAGAATGGGCCTACTGTAATTCACCAGGGAGGGACGAAGTGGGAGAGAAGGGCTGGTATCGGAGCAGTGCAGAGTAGGCGGACAGAAAAGATTGTAAACTCCTGGTACCCTAGCCAATGAGGGGAAAGGAGGAGGGACAAAGCGATGGGGAGAGGGCATAAGTTTGGAAGGTAAACATGTGCTCAGGGAGTTGGAAGAAGGGAAGGAAACCATTCTGGTTCCCTTTATTGCAATAACATTTCAAAAAGAACTCTCTGCATGCTTAGAATATGTTTCTCTTCTGAAGGAAAGGAAAGAGTTTCTAACAGTTCCCAAAGGAAAGTTTGTTATAATCCATTATCAGACACTTACCCTTCTATCTAGCTTGCTTTACTAAAATGTCATATTGTGCATAGTTGCATTCCAGAACAATGAACCTATACACCAGCCACCTATAGCTTAGAACTAACACAATCAGAACTGGCTTGTTCTAAGAGAATTATTCATTGCTAAAGCATATCTTACAATTTTTTTACTGGTCCTAAAGAGAAGGGGGAGAAGAGCTCCCCACCCCCTTCCTCTATAAGGATGGTGACAATTTCTACTTTACTCTCTTAAGAAGCTTTAGCAAAGTGGCCTGAGCTCCCAGCAAAGCACACAGAAACAGTGTGGTGAAGCAGAGCATTGGAATTAGACCAGAGAGAGAGTTCTCGGGTCAAATCTCTACTCAGTCATGAAGCAAACTGGATGGCCTTGGGCAACTTATTCAGCCATGGCTATGCACATAAAATGGGTTGCTCAACCCACACCTCTGGATATGAACAATAAATATATGAGTAACATAAGAAGTAAACATCTCACATACTTGAGCAATTTGTGTGATCAATCACTTTATTCCAATATAGACAAACAGCTGTACCTAAAGGGTTCAACGGTAAACTCCTGTGTAAGAGATTTCCAATCCCAGTTTCTTTCTTTCTTTTTTATTTATTTAAACAATATCAACGGGTTAGTTTTCCTGTTATGAAAATTCACAACAATTTAGAAACTCGTTAGGAAAAAAGAAGCAAGTAACTTTCTCAGTGACTACCTCGACCAATTACATCAGAGACAGAACTTGCTTTTGATTGAATCTATACTCTGACCTGGTTCATGTAATGAGAAGCCACGGTGGGTAAATTTCTCTGTGGGGTTTCTTCTTGCAGTGCTGGCCATCATTTTAAAAATTCAAGCCATAGCAGAACTGGGGGGGAAAGGATGCCACAGCTGGAATGGTTAACAAGTCACCCAGATCCCATGGCCTGTTTTCAGACTGGTGAGTGGCTTGTTAACCACGCTCCCCCGCCCCCCGCACCTGTGTTTGCACATAACAAGTGATGGCACCCACTTGACACTTTAAAGTGGCAGGCAGCACTGTGACAAGAAAATTTATTCATGTCTTCCTGTTAACATGCAAACAAGTTCTCCATCTCAGGGCCGTCTTCATGCATGGGCCTGAGGGGCACTTGCCCATGGGCCCCATACTAATCTGTGTATGATAACCCTTGGAAAATGGGAAAACTTCCAAAATTAACAGTAGTTGTAGTTGTTGTAGGGGCCCCAGCGCACTGCTTTGCCCGGAGCCCATAATGCTGTTAAGACGGCCCTGCTCCATCTCAGTCAGGAGACCGGCATCCACTGCTCAAAGCTGCTCATATGAATTGCTCTTTCAGACCCGCTTTTCTGTAAGAACTGCTGCACATGAGCTGAAGCCCAAGATTGCGGCCACCAACTGGCTCAGAGTATTTCAATGCACCCGGTCTTGGTGGCGGTTGCAGCTCAAGGTATTTCAACATACTCAGTTTCTGGCATCCTGGCGGAGCTGCCAAGGAACATGAGAAGAGCCATGCTGGATCAGACCACGGTCCTTCTGGCCCAGCACTCTGTTCACACAGTGGCCAACCAGTTGCCCATGGGACCTACAAACAGGCCTATGTTCCCTACCCAATAGTGTACATAGCCATACTGCCTTCAATACTGAATTTCTCTAATCACCTTTTAAAGCCATCTAAAATGGTGGTCATAACTACATGCCATGGTAGCAAATTCTATAGTTCAACTAAGCACTGAGTGAATTAGTGCTTTTTTATCTGTCCTGAATCTCCCAGCAATCGATTCAATGGAATGCCCCCAGGTTCTTGTATTATGAAAGAGGGAGGTAGCAACTTTTCCCATGCCCTGTCAAATTATGTGCAACTCTATCATGTCTTCTCTCATTAGTCTTTTTCTATGTTAAGTAGTACCAGGCACATATCTCAAATGTACTGGTGTGGGGGTTAGCAAGGAGTCAGCTTCTCAGATTGCCAATTTGGACTGCCAGGTGCTCCTGAGTAGAAACACAACAAAAATATAAATGCTGAAATTTAACTGTTAGACACTCAGACCAGGCTGTATGATTCAAGAGCTGTGTACAGGCACTCTCACAGTGCTCACCTGAAAGTCAACAATAATTCTTTTCTTCACAGACTCCAAGTTTTGATTCACAGAAAATACACGACAGCGCACTGGGAAAGAAAAGAAAGAGCATTATTGTCACAAGTACTCTCCTTTCCTTGTTTGGAATTGTCTGTCTTTAACTCTCTCGATATCTAATGCTGCCACCAGGAATTTAATTCCAGCCTTTTTAATCAACCTCCCATTGTATTCTGCCCAAGCTATAAGGCTCCTTCATTGGAATATGTGATCCTGAGGATGAGACAATGGAATTCAATCAGCCTTTGGTTCTAAGTTAACAATTTTTTTACAAAAGCGTTATCTGTGCAATAAGTGTATTGGTTTCAAGATATTCAGTAACTTATTTCCTTAGTAAATAAAACAATGCATATTAACAGCTTCTGACTGTGGTATCTCATTTTTCTCTTCACAAACACTCCTCACTCATAAATCCTCCTTTCTCTCCTGCACTCAGGTTTCTCATTGCTTCTATCACTCATACCCTTATAATACTTGGCAAAATTTGGTTTTGACTCCCCCTAGTCACTAATATGTCCTCCAAGTATTCTACTCCTACTTAGTCCCTCAAGTGCTTTTCACAGTGTTACCAATGACGCTCCCTTTCACCCCACTTAGGCTAGCCTAAGGAAGACCACTTAGCCAGAGAGCCGCAGCCATGTTGTATTTCCTGTCCAGGAGGGAGGAGGGGGAGACAGGAGAGCAGTGAACCCTGCGTGAACTCCTGCGACAGGCCCACTGGATGTCAAGGAGGGCAAGTGGGGAGAACCCTTGGCGCCTGGGACCCGCTGGAATCTCAGTTAAAGTAGCAAAATACATTATGAATTACAAGAAGGAGAGAAACATGAAGCAGGTGTGAATGGTTTGGAGATTATTAGTGGACATATGGGAAGGGAAGTCCTTGGAACAATAAAGAGTTTTTCTGTAAACTAACAAAAGGAACAGTGAACAATATGCGAATGTATCAACTTTGTATCCAGAATCATGTTTGTGATGTGGGGTATATATTAAGTTATAAGCCTAAAGAAGCCAATGGAGATGGATCAAAACAAGTAATCAGCATGTGTCTGAACATGTCTGATTCACTGTATAAAGGAACTCCCGAGATATGGGTGAAAGATGCTTATCAAGTAATTTTTAAACCCCTAGAGATACTTTCAGGTACTGATATGGAATGTTTAGAGGAAGTTAGTACTACAGCTTTTGGATTCTGGTCTTCATACATCTTTACTCTCAGTATTTTTCTTCCTTGTAGAGAAATATGGATGTGTTTATGTACAAACTTTACTAAATGAATGCATTTCTCTTGCACTTAAAAAAATATTTTTCTTCTATTAACTAAAGCACATTTGTGTGCTTTTTTTTTCTAGTGCATGCAATTTTCATGAGCATTTTTCCAAGCATCTGTATCTTTCAAACACATATTTTAATGCAAGAATTGGATCACAAGCATGTAATAGGGCAGAAAAGGGCAACCCAAATGATTATGGGGCTGGAGCAACTGTCTTACAAGGAAAAGTTACAACATCTAGAAAGAGATTATTCAACTTAAAGAAAGGGTGAGTGAAAAGAGACATCCTAGGATGTACAAAATTATGCATGTTGTGGAGAAATTGGACAGGGAGATACTTTTCTCTTCCTCTCATAATCCTAGACCCTGGTTTCTTCCCATTAAGTGGAATGAAGGGAGATTAAAGACAGATAAAAGGAATTACTTATTCACAGGGCACAAACTACAGAATTTTCTACCACAAGGTGCAGTGATGGTCACTTATTAAATAAATAGTTGAATAAATAAGTATAGTATTAAAGAAACAGTAGAAACATAAATAGCTATTAAAGACTATGAGTCATGTTGACAATATGCTATCTCCAGTATCAAAGATAGTGTGCCTGTGCATACCAATTGCTGAAGGACACACACAAGAGGCTGGCATTAGGCATCCCACAGGCAGATAGTTGGCCACTGTGTGAACATGAACAATGGGCCTGAGGGACCATTGATCCAATTCAGAACAGCTATACTTTTAAAATGTTTTCTGAAATGTGTTGATCTTATTGCAAAGTCTATTAAACTCCATTTCCAATTCTAGGAGGTGCTAATTGGGTAATCTTGTATAAATTCACAAGCCCAGAATGTGCAATTTCTTTCACATCCTTACTTAATGCATTTTAACAGCCTTAACTAAACATAAAGAGAAGGATATTTTTTTAAACAGAAAATTTCAAAGGGCTTTGACTAGGGCATTATTTTCCATGCCAATCTTCCATTTGCTCCAATGTCATTTGTGGTCAATGACATAGATTGATTCTATTGATAAAACAATAGAAGCATTTTAAAATGAAGCATTTTAAAAAATGAATGACCGAAGGTGGAAAAAGTGATCCCTCTTCCAAGCTGCTTTCAGCTTTAGAGTTACTGCAAGAGGCATCTCATGACAGTAAATATCTAGCAGAGAAGCCAAAGGCAGATCCCAAGAAAGCTACTCATTCCACATGCCTACTGTGGTCCCAGATACTTGTACAGATGGAGCCAGCAGGGGCCTTTACCGAAAGATCCAGGTGTATAAACAGGTTGATCTGTCTGAATGAAGATATAGGCATCCTGGAAGGAGACCAATACCACCTTCTCCAAAGTGAATTGAGGACAGCTGGCCTGAACAACCACGTACTGGCGTTTCTTTGAATTCATCTTCATATTTCTAGCAGAAACCTGTATGGAATATTGGAGATTAGAAACATTTCCTAGCAATTACCAGCATGACAAATGCTATCACAGAAATGATATTCAAGGTGCTGTAGGATAGGAGCCCCTCCACAGGATACCTAGAATACTCCTAGACATGCACCCTCTTGTCTTCCCTTGGCTCTAAGACAATGACTGCTGATTTTTTAAAATCTTAGGCAAGGGTAGAGAAACTTCATGAGAAGTGGGAACAATCCAGACTGGACATGGCCATATGTTGGGAAAGTCCAAATAAATCCTCAAAGAAAACAATATGCTTTTGCATGTCCTCTAAAACAAAATCTGGCAGCAGTGCCCTTATTTTCAGATAAGACAAGCCCCTAGCTGAAACAATGCTACAGGCCCATCTGCAACTGCACTTCCTATGCAATGTAAAATACCTAGCTGTCAAGACCCGAGGCAGCTTCAGGGCTCCCTCTGCTGGCCAAGGCCTGGCAGAGCTGCTCTGGTAGTTGCAGGATTCTGTCCTCAGCCCACTGCAGCTGCCAGGGCTCTCATGAGTTCCACCTGGGGAAGAGCTATATAAGAACCAGCTCTTCCCTTCAGAAGCTGCCATGACAACAATGGTCTCCTGTTGTTGGTGAAGCTCTTCCTGGTCTGCTAGACTTGGTACTCTGTGCTGATTATCCTGCCTGTGTCCTCTTCTCTCCCTGACTGGTCTGTCTTCCTCGGTTCTCTGAGCCTTGGCTTGCTCTGGACTACATTTTAAACTTGTTAAATTTCAGTATCCCCTGATTTGTTTTGTTATCTGTTACTCAAGTCTTTTTTCTGATGCCTATAATTTCTCAGTGTTTCTGTATTAATCTCCATTGTCCTCACCTTCTCACCCATTCAGAACCTCATTACTGCCCTGAAACTGTGTACATGACCCACAAGTTCATAGCCAGTTCAGTATACTGGCTACCCAACTGCGCTGGTTTTTCTCTGTCAGAGTAGGATTCCTGGGGAGTCCTGCCAATAAACGGCTGAAACTGAATGTAGCATCTTCTGTGTGACTCCAAGACTTCCTGTCACATGCAGCTGCTGGCACTGACCCCCAGTATGATTGCCTGATATGATTCATTCACACAAATATACATTTTCCTCTACTGCAATCAGCCTTTTAACAATCCTCAGTTGGTGGCAATGGAAGCTTTTTAATTGCAGCAAGGCCCATAGACCCACCTTTATGATAGGTGTTGCCATCATTCCATTTCCTTGGTCCAGAGTAGCTCGCACCATGAATAAAACATTACTCTTTTCTGGGAATGTATACACAGTTACTACGATTTCTGTTGGTGAGCTGAGTCCATGAGCCTCCACTACAACCTTCTCTTCACTGTCCACCCACAGAACATTAGGTGTGATGAGGGAGTAGCTGTGAAAGACAAAGATTTCATGCATTTGTTTGAGCTGAAGTATCAGGCCACAACTCCACACCGTATGTCTATGTCTCTCTGGAAAAGTGAAGAAACAAACACCCTCTAGAGTGGCAGTGCTCATGCTCATCCCTGTCATGGGCATGACAGAACAAATGCAAAGTAATAAGTGACATATTTGAGGTGCTGAAGCCATGATGTAGGAACATAGGCAGCAATTCATTTGGGCTAGGCCAGAATTCTGAATTAAGTAAAGAACAGCAACTTATTCACTCCCTATGAAGAAACAAGAAAAAAAAATAATGTTTTGTTTCAATAACTTAGGGCCTAAATGGGTTGACAGATGTTAAAAAGCTTTTTACTAGAGACTTGTGTCTTTTTACACTGTAAATATGGTGTGCTAGCAAATTGGCACTGACTGCTGCCATTAAGCCAGGAAAATTAAGCGCTGTCTGTATGGGAGGGTGAGAAATTGGAGAATAACTGAACATCTAAGGTTGCCCATTGGTCCTAAAGTTAAATAGAGAAGGGATGGCAGAATATTGGCTGCACCAAAGTGGACTGGCTGCTGGGTTCTCACTGGGGTGAATATAGTCAACTGTGGAAAACTCTTTAAGAGGAGTCTGAAAGGAGACTTTTCCTGAGGAAGAGAGGATGGGGTGCCTGAGATGGAAATCAGAGAGAAGACTACCTTTCAAGCCATCATTGTTAGGTCTGTGGCTTAACTGGGATGGCGCTTGATGCAGTAATGGGCATAAAATTGGTTAGGGGTAGGCACAAAGGTATGGTAGGAAAAGTAACCATACAAAAACCCTGTTTAAAAGTGGTAGCAGCCTTCAGTCTGCTTTATTGTGTTTCTTTCTTTTCAATAAAATATTAAATAGTTTCTGTTGTCACTTACCTATTTTGATTCACACTTAATGGCCTTAAGGGAAAAGGCATATTTTACAGTAAAGCAGTGCAGTTTAATGATGGAAATGAAGGGGGCAACTGCCCAGTGATGGCAGGTGATCTGTCACACTTGAGAATAGGTATCCGATTCCCCTAATAGAGGCCTTTATCCTATGACCAAGTTCTCCACACCCTTGTACAAGGCAAGATTCATGGAGGAAGTGCACACTCACTCGGCAAATGTGTGCTCCCCAAACTGCATCTGCTGAGGCAACCTGAACACGAGCACAGGTGACATTTGAGAGCTGGCAGCCAAGGGCAGGGAAGGTGGAGTCATTTTATGCCCACTGGTTACTTCCTGAACTCTGGGTGCAAGCCCATTTTGCCATTTTTTCAAAGGCCAGAAGAAGCAAGGTGACAGGAAGCAGAATTGTAAGAGGCCTGGGTTAATTTTCAGGGGAGCTCAAGGGAAAGACTAAGCGGGCCCTCCGGCCTACAGATTTTCCCCTGCAAATGCCCCTCTCCATGCCCCTGCCCTCTCACTCATCCTCTTAGGCATACAGTTGACACTTGCACTCCAGGAGCAGAGAGGTTGTTTTCATTTCCCTCGCCCTGCTGGGAACCGAGCTTGAGGCAGCGTGCTGAGCCACTTGGTGCCAAATAGCTTCTCTTCTCCCCCGCGCTTTGTGAAGATGGCAACAGAGGATTTGCCAGAGTTGTTCTCAGTAACATTCACCTCTGTAGCATGAAAGAAGGATCTCTGGGATGGTGACAGGCTTGATGAATACTACCTTTTCCAGATGACTGTGGAAGAGCAAGGTCTCATCAACACCAAAGGTTTCTATTTCTAAATTCTTTTTTGGGTTGTTGTGGGGGTTTTAATATCATTTCCATTATGTTGTGGGTTTTTTATTTTTATTTTTTTAATTTTTTGGGTGAGAGATGTTGGCACTATCTGGGATGTTTGACTCTATTTTGGTTTGTTTCTAGTTCCATTCTTTTTTAAATTTTACAGGTTTTGTAAAAATTCCATGTTAATCACAATGAATATTAGTTTGAAATGTTTGGACTGAAATAATGCATGATTTATATGTTGTATCATTTAACAGTAGGCAACTTCTGGTAAAACATGCTCGTGCAGAGAGGTAAGCAATATGTTCTTTCTTTTTCTATATTTAATGTGATATCATAGCTTTTAAATGAACAGATGAGACTGCCCCCTAGCTTAAATGAGCTTAATGTCAAGGTGACTTAAAAAAAAAAAAACAAAAAACAAGAAATCCATTTGATAGCTCTAGCTATACATTTGTCCAGAAAAGATTGGGCAAGAAGATCTGTGTACCAGATACCTACACAAAGGTTAAAGGGACTACTATTTTAATTCATTGGTGACTCTTCAATTTAGCAAGGGATTACTGATCTTGATGGTTGCTTTCTTTATTCTGGTTGGGAAATATATTAATAGAGTAATTGTCATGATTAATGTGTATGCACCTAATGATTCTCTGGTGGTTTCATGAACATTTTAGCAAGATTGTACATCCTTTACTGGATTGGGCTATACCTGCTCTCAAAAGGCAAACAAGGGTGAGTTTTACACTTCAGACCTATATGATTGAATTTGGTTTCACTGCTGCTTGGATAATTTTGTAATTTGGCAAGAGACACTAACCCTTCAATTTCCTTGTCCATTATAACAGCTTCTGATCAGGCCAAAAGCAGCAGGCCAAAAGCTGCAGAAACAAAAAGATTATTATTTTTTATTTCTACAACGTTGCTACTTCAAATAAATGCTTGTAAGACTGATATGCTGGACAGCTCAGGCCAAGATCCAGTCTGATTGACATTGAAAATTTCGGATTTGCCTGAGGGCCCCTGGGCTTTGGAACTGGAATGTTTATCTTCTGAAACATGAGGTGTTTTTTAAAAAACAGTTTTGTGCTTACTCAAGTATTTTAAAAATTAATGGGGGTTCTGTTGATTCTTCAGCCTTTTATATGGAACTGAATTATTGCTGATGCCACCTATAAGAATAAATAAAGCATACCAGAAATGAATAAGAAGTTGAAATTTCTTATAATCCAGCTTGCTTCTAGCTTAACTGCACAAAATGTTTATCAGGAGTTGCAAAATGTTAGTAAAACAAGTACAACGTTTTTTACAACAGGAAGAATTTGCTTTAATCGTTTTATGGCATTTGGAAAAAAAAGGTTGCACATCCCAGTAAGCGTTTGGTAAACAGCAAAAACACTGAAACATTATTTCAGCTGTTAAGGATGCGAGTGGTACAATGCATACCTCTGATATATACATAAACTCACAATTGTTAAAGTTTTATTCTGATTTGTTCAGTACAGCAAGCAAATTATCTGAGGAGAACATGGATTATTTTTCTTTCAGGTTGTTCTTCCATAATGGCAATTTCTCTTGGCGTCTGAATGTTAAAGAAATTATGGAAACAATTACAAATATGAATCCTGGGAAATCACTTGGTTTGGATGGCTTTCCACATGAATGGTAAAGAAACATTTTCCAAATTGTTAGTTCCAAAGCTTTAGCTTTATAATTATATCTATAATCATATTTTGATTTGGACTGCCTTTTTATTATTAAAGCTTGCATTACAGTGATTCTTAAACATGGCAAAGATCACACTCATTGTAGTAACTACTGACCTACTTGCTAATTAATATAGTTACTTAAATAGTTAATGCAATTCTGGCTGATAGAGTGCTATAGTTATCACTACCCTGGTTTAACCAGATCAGCTGGGATTTACTGAACCTAGGAAGGAGGCTGATAATTTCAGGTTATCAAGTTGTTGATTTGATAGCTTTAAAAACTGATAGAATAGACCAGGCTGCCATTATTTCTTTAAATGCTGAAAAGGCATTTGAAAAAATATACCAGAAATTTATTTTCATTGCACTAAGCTTACTAGCAGAATTTATTTAATAGAGTAGAATTATGACCATAGTCTCATCTTGGCTTTTTTTTTCCTTCACTTGGGAGAGGTAACAGGGATATATACTTTCTCCATTGATATTTGATTCATGTTTGGAACTCCTGGCATGTGCTAGTAGTATTCATAGATTTGTGCATGATTGTTTAGAATTAATATTATTCTCTATGCTGATGATGATTTATTGTTTATCTCTAGCTTTCAAACAGTTGTTTGATACTTTGGTAATTTGACCGATTGAAGTTTGAACTGATGCCAGTTGAAAACACTACATCTCTTAGCATATTACTTAACAGGCAGTTTTTATGGTGTCAGATCTTATTACTTGTTTGGGAATACTTATTCTCAGAGACATAGCACAACTTGAATAATGACAATTCTATGGCCATCCAGAAGCTATGTAGATGACTATGGGAGACTTCAAACTCTGCTATTAAATCAGCTCTCTAAGACTTTACAGGATGTGAAAAGTGTGGAGGCAGTCTCATGGCAAATTGACTGTACAGGGGAAACCAGATTTTAAAATGGATAAGAAATTTTTTTGTGGTGGACATGGATGGATACTTTGATTTTCACTTTGCATCTATTAGCAAGTGCTGTTAAGTTTTTGTTGTTCTTCACTTTATAGACCAAATACCATTTGCCTGCTGTAGCTGAAAGGCGATACTTGCGATTGCAACATTTGTTAGACCTAGGTTTGGCTCTGCTGCTTTTACAGCTTAACTGGAACCAGTTATGAAGGCTGATCAGTACCAGGATCAAAGGCTGTTTTAGCCTGTAAGTGTCTGCAGGATCAGGAATACACCTGTAGGTGCTTACAGGGACCCGTCACTGGCAATGATGCAGTGCAGCGGCAAGCACCGGGGAGCAGCGTAAAAGGCTTCATGGCACTGCTGCCCACTGCCATAGCAACGTGAGTTGTTTGGTGGCAACTCTGTGCTTCAAGCTCCAGCTTTGCCTTGCTCTAGCTTGCCTGACTCCTCCTCTGATCCAGTCTGTTCCCACTTCTATCCTTGTCTCTCGCCTGACCCTGGCCTACTAGGTACATGCACCCATCCTCCCTGACCTCGTCTTGCTTCTGATCATGACTGTCTTACCAGTACCTGACCCTTGGTCTTCTCATGCATTGTGCTTTTGCCTGAACCATATTTTCTCACTGGCTCTCGACTTTGGACTTCTCAAAGATGTGCTTCTGGTTCTCTCAACCTCAATCTCCACCCACCATCTGCATCCTGACAGTAGTTGCCTACCATGCTTGCCCCAGACATTACAACCAGTAATTTCAATCTACAATCATAAATACTTATCAAGATAGTGCACAGATTTTAAGGCACAATGGAATGGATACTACACTTTTCCACTTTGCTTGAGCAATAGATGCTGATTGGAGACACTATATCTCATAACATTTAGCCACTGTATTTGATGACGTTCGTCCATCGTTTTCGATGAGGACCTTGACATCTAATGCGTTGTGTGTTGTCCACAGTGTGTCCGCAGGTGGCTGGTTTGTCTGTATTTGAAACATCTGTAGATCTCAGTTTATATCTACTTCAGTAGAAAAATAGTGTACTGTGTCTACTGGATGTCACAATGTTTCTTTAATAAGGATTTATCTAAGTTGGCTAATTGCTGGAGATGTAACATCCGAATAGCCTCAACAAATATGGCAAAAGTCAGGGATACTGGGAATTGTGGTCCAAAACAACTGGAGGGTTCTATGCTGAGGAAAGCTGGTATAAAGGATTTATTGAAGACCCTCATTTTGTATTACTCCTACCCTTCTCACTTTTAACTCTGTTAAGCCTTTCTCCCTGCACCATTTCCCTTGTTTGTATCGCTCACCCACAACTTTACTATTTGCCCTTTACAGAACCATATGCAGGTGCCATTTGGATAATAGTTTTGGGTAAGGATTAAAGAAATGACACAGGCAACAGTTAACTCTGCCCTCTTCCATTGTAGCAGCTCCAATCTGATTTGCTGCTCATTTTGATTGCTGCTTTTAATTTAAAAATATAAACAGCTAAAAGAGCTACAGTCATGAATCTCCCATATCTCTTGCATGGCTCTTGGTGGTGCAACTTGAGAACTGCAGTGTAATCAGTACATAGATCACTGTGGAAGTCATGATATGCAAGGTCAGTCACCTGAATATGAGGTCATGGATGACTGCAGCATCCATGCATGAATACAACCCAGCAAACTAAATGCGTCTAGTTGCAAAACATGCAGATTTAAACAAGTTTAATAATAATAATAACTGATGATGACATAATAGTATCTGCAAGTTCAGAGCCAGAATACATGGTGTAACTGTTCCAGAGTTATTTCCATCACACTGTGTTTGCAACGTTCCCAGAAGTACATGGCTAGCATTGTCTGTAGACTAAAGTAAATGGACCTCTGGACAGAACCAGTGGAACTCTTATGTTCATTTATGTGGTTCAAATGCTTTTTGAGCACAGAATTCTTTTCAGAGGAAATTTATTTCATAACCAGTCCTCATAAGAAGGGCATTCTAAATCTGATAGAACTTCACAGCATGTGACATCAGACAAAAGAAGAGATAAAAATGCACAGAAAATGCTTTTCCTGAGCAGAGGATAAAGCCCTATATTAGATTTAAAACAAGAAATACTTACAGCTGACTGTGAGAAGCAGCTGGGAAAGCGATCACCAGGGTAACCACGAAATAGAAAGCAGTCCCCTCCATGGTGCTCCAGAGGACCTGGAGACCAGGTTGTGACTCAGTTATTTGTTCTGTAAGCATCTCTCGCCCTTAAGCTAGGCTGCTTTGCAAACAGCTGAGTGGTTAATCAGTAAATGGAGAGAACAATTAGGGAGGATAGTACTGATAAAAAGTAGAATTCCATGGCCGCTTGACTGGAACAGGAATCTGACAAGTTCTGATCACTTAGAACATGGATGCTTGACTTTTTGGGGAGGGGGTGTTCTGAGGGCCAACTAGGGATTTGACAAGGGTTCTAGGAAATACATGTACCTATGAACAAGCATAATGCACATGCACCCTGGAGAAACATGCACACACACAGGGGTGGGTGGGGGTGACACCTGCGCATACTCATGAAATGGTGCGATTCATTTTCAATGGGCATGCTTTGAAAACTATTTGGCAACTACTGCATTTTGCTGTCAGGATCAGGGTCTGAGTGTCCCTGCAAGTGCCTGCAGAACCAGAAGCATCCATGCAGGGATCAGCCGAGGAGGAATTATGCAGTGCAGCTGGAAGCCTTGGGGACCAGCATAAAAGGCTTTCTGTCACTGCTCTTCTTTGCCACAGCAATGCAAGTTGTCTTGGTGACTCCTGGCGCCCTGGTCCAGCTGCTCCTCCCTGAGCGTGGTTCATTCCCACCTTGCTCTAACTGAATGTTCCTCTGGCTTTGACCTTGGATTGGTAACCTGTGTTTGCCTCAGGTCCCCAACTGGTTGTGAAGCCCCACCTTGCCCTGTTCCCAGTGTTCTGCCTGCCCCAGCTGATGCCCATGTCCCAGTCCTTGCAGTTGTAGGGGACCACAACTCCTGTCACTCCTGACCACTGTCCGTTCTAGCTGGAGGGTAGGGGCTGTAAGTTGTAGTTCAGCAACATTTGGAGATCCAGATTAGAACTCACGACTTCAGACTGAGTAATAGTGGACAGGAAATCCACTTTTCCTCTATTCAAACAGCTTTTAGCTGGATTGTCCTGTCCTGATCATGAACAGAAGCCCATGGCGTGAGTGCCTGAAAGTGGCTTTTAGTAACACAGGGAAAGCAGGGCTGGATTTCACAACTCTCCAAGCAGGTAACTTCCCCCAAGGACGTCTGGGGTGCAACAGTTTAAACAATCCTGGTGTATGCAGACTACACCTCCCAAGCTCCATTCTCTCCTTGAAGAGTAACCCTTCTTAAATGGTTAGTCCTTTGGCCTGGGGCATAGCACCTGAGTCAGACTTTGATAGTACTGGGGAACAAGCAGCAGGAATTTTAAAAAGGAGCGGATTCTCAGGGGAATTTGGCTCAGAGGATTATACCTTCCTGAGTCTCAAGTTCAGTTTCCAGGCACCTTCTAGTAAGCCACTGTTATCAACAGTACTTATAACAAAAGTCTTAATTGCTGTAAATCCAGTTACACAATCAGCTTTTCAGAGGTTTGTGGCAGAACTTCCTGCACTTGTATCCCCAGTAAACCAAATTACTTCCATGAAAGCCACTGGTAAATTGCCTGGCTTAAGAAGCAGTCTCGGTGTTAGAATGCATTCAGAGTCACAATCCTAGCAACAAAGTCCAAAGCAGAATCTTACATTACAAATTCATAGTGAACAAGAATTCACACATTTATGATCAAGGGTGTAGTGGAGGGTCCCCTCAGGGGGGTTGGAGCTCCCCTACTTATTTTGAAGGAGGCTCGGGAGGGGGGTCACTGGATCCCTCCCCTACTACCTCTCAAGAGACTTAATTTTGTTGCATTGTGGCTGGCAGTTGCCACTATGTTGGAGTCCTGAATTTAATGGATTAAGAACAGGGGTGTTTTCTACAGTTCCTGGGACCTGCCTATCTAGAGAGGCCTGCCAGGCATGCACAAATGCTTCCTGTGACACTTTCCCTCATGGTCAGCCTCAGTAAGTCATGTTTTTAGACGGTAAGATTGTGGGCAAGAACTGGCTTATTAATTTCACATAAGCCACTCTGGGAGCTTTTTGGCTGGAGAATGGTGCGTAAAGGTAATTTTAAAAAATCATTCATAATAAATTAGATGAAAAGAAATAACTTGTAGGAACTGCCATTGTTTCTGCCATACCCTCATCTTGCATTCATTACTCAACAGAAATTCCAAAAAGTGACAAAGCTCATTTTTATTGTATAATCATAAGTTGAATTATCTTGGAAAGAGATCTGTAATGGGGACAAGGCTTTGAGGTGTGGTTCTCTCTTGAAGGGACCCCCGCTTCTAAATTTGCCACTACACCATTGTTTACAATAAATTCTAGCCAAAAAATACTCCAAGCACTAAATACATTGATCTCAGCAAATGCATTCTGGTTGATAACATTGATTTAAATGCAGGGTAGGAGTTTGTTAGAGGCCATCTTATGATTACCTATCCTGACAGAGAATTTTAGCCTTTAATTAAACAAAAACATGGAAGAAGGCTTCTGTGTTCCTCCACTTTGAGCTGACAAACTAACAGAATGGCTCATTACCCACAATGTGTTCATCACTACTGAAAGTAACCTCAGGATTCTGGCAATCAGTTTTCCTATTGTATTTGCAGATGACAAGAAGTGCAATGAAGTAAGTTCTAATATATAGGATTCCTCTCTGAAATTCCGGAGACTGTATAGCCAGAGTAAATGGCCTATGGCTATATGCTGATAAACTACTGCTACTGAAATAGATGGCCCAATGGCACAAGTCAGCATAAGGTTACTTCCTATGTATCATTGCAGCAAGAAACTGAGATATTGCTTATGGCCTCCAGTATGAGCTTTCAAGTGAACCAATTGCTCTGTTTAAAGACATGGTGGCTGAGTGACGCAGTCCTTTGCCGTTCACCACTGACTTCAGTGGAAGCTAGGAAACTGAAGTCTCCTCTTGCGTTGGTGCAACATCATTCCAGCATGCGTGGGTGGAAAAGAAAACTTGGGAATCTGGGAATCTAGGAATCTTCCCTGCTCCATCCACTTTACCTTTGCAAAGATAGTGCTGTACCACTGTGGATTTAGTGCCCTTTGGATCCACCATCTCTGGGAGTTTTAGGAACAGTCTTATCTTTGCACAGTGCACACAACTTGGAGGGACTATTGTGTGAGTGACCTATGCAATTTGCTTTTGAGCAAGCCTTGCCAAATAAACATATAAACATGTTGCAATTGACTATCTTTGAGGCCTGCCCGCATTTCGTTTCTGTCCTGATGTCCTGGCTGGGAAAACAAGCCTCTTACTGGAAACCAAATGCTAACCAGCTTTTCCTGTTGAACTCTTTGGTGTTCTGACTGGCAGCTCTTGCCATATAAAATGCATACAGTCATAACCTGGTGCTACCACATGTTACTTTTGCCAATATTTATTTACTTGCTTGTTTTATTTACAGTGTTTATATACTTCTTCACATCCAAACAAATTCCAGAGCAATAAAATTTATTCCTAAGACCTGTATAAAGAACAACGGTGCACAATACCAGAAGCTACTGCTTTTCTTGTTTGAATGATCTTGTTTGTTTGAAAAGTCAGCTCTGTGTCTCCTACATTTGGGAACATTGCTAGTAACTAGTGTTGTGAGCCGCCCCGAGGCTTCGGCGAATGGGGCGGCATAAAAATGTTTTAATAAATAAATAAATAACTCCAAACAGTTTTTGTAACACGCATATAACTATCCACAAGTTGCGAGTACACCAATGAGACCTTCAAATACACAATTATACAAATGTATAATCTTTGGAATCACTGGAGCCCTATACATGTCGTTTCGCTGCAGGTTAACCCTGATTTTTCCAAACATAGTGTGGTGATAACTTGTGATTTGGCATTATTGTTGTGGAGGCATTCCTGACTTCTGTAATACTCCACTGTCTGCAGGGATGTGCAGCCAACCAAATCAGATCATATCAGATGTATCTGAAACAAGAATCTCCCCTGACTAAATCCCCTTTAGGATCAGAATAGTTCTTCTAGATAGAGCTGCACAAACACAGTGGTAGCAGCAAAACAAGCCTCCTTTGTTGTCATCGCTGTAGCTGCTAAAATAGAATCTAACCTACATTGGCTCTGATTTGCCCCATTTTCCTCCCTAATGAAAACCTAAGAAGTAGAAACGATTTTATACTAGAAATTGGAGAGAGAAGCCTGCAGTGTTTTAAGCAGCTAACTCAGTGTTTACTCCTCCATGCTAGGAAGGGGGGGCACAATTTTTGCTGACCGCCCAGTGGACTTTCACTCTACTCTGTACATCTGTTGATAAGCAAAACAAATAAAGACTTGTAATCAGTTTAAAACATTGCAGGCTGAAGCAGGCAGATGCTAAAATGAAAGAGGTAGCCACAAAGTAGTAAAATAAATAGTGTAGTACAGTTGGTTGGACTAGGAATATAGAGACCTGAATTCAAATCCCCCCAAATCGGTGAAGCCCATTCGGTGACCTTGGGCCATTAACTATCACTCACCTAATCAATCTCAGAGGATTGTTATGAGAATAAAATGGGGAGCAGGAGAAAACTATGTATGCTGCTCTGAGTTGTTCAGGTAAAAGGCAGGGTATAAATGAAATAATGAATCTATGACTCTGTAATAAACTTTGACTGATGAATGGAATAAATAGATTTAAAATGTGAGGAGACTGATCAGTGGCATACTCCAAGTGACCACACTTGGGGTACAACAGCAGCTACATGTATTTATTTAATAGATTTCTGTACCGCTTAGGGTTTTCCCTTCATTGAGAAAGGAATATGTCTGAAGCATATAACCTTCCTGGAACTGGTGCAGCTTAGGGCAGCTTCTGTAGGTTAGGGTCACCTTTCCATATCCATAATGCTGTTTCTGTATTTGACTTTGTTCAATTATCCAAGTACTATGGGGGCTGTTTTTCCCCAGTGTCTGACTGGAATGCAGGATATTAAGATGGCTGTTCCTCCCAATGGCTCATGATGTCTTTGGTCTGCAGGCAGAGAAGGAGAAGCAAAGGTGAAAAGCAGCCCTGGGAGGCTGGAAGGAAATCAGCCTGCCAGTCCCAGAGGT